TATTACAAACACTTGTACCCTATCATCTGCTTCCCACAATAGCCTTGTTATGAAATTATCATCACTACTATATATGAGAGCTTCAAAGCTTAGAGAGCTTAAGTCACTCAGCTCATGACTCCTTGTTCTTCTTCCACCACATTTTCTTCTCTATGATTAAAGAAACATTGCTGCCATATCAGCATTTTGCAGGGAAAGATGAAATGTACTAGAGACCCGAGCTATGCATCTTTCATCAATTACATATTTCTCCAACTAGTTATTAGAATTACTAGCTAACAGGATATCCAGCTAATCACTAACTGATGTCAATCATAGAGACACAAGTTGTATGAATAAGTTTTATTAAGCTAGTAGTTTAGCAAGGGAATTACCTAGATTGTATCTATACTGTCCAGAAGATCAAATCCAAGTAAGTCGAAAGAGCACAGTTTCTCTTTGGGAAAACAGAGGATGTTTAAATGAGTCTTTCATGACTTCAGTATTGTTTCTAGTAGCTATCATCTGCCCATATAGTTACTGTATAGCCATTTTTTCCCAAAGTAGTGAAGATGGCTGCAGACGTGCAGTGTTACAATTCTGTCCACAATATGTGTGTACACCAAAACATATAAAGATATATTTACCAATAACTTAAGAAATCATTTGCAAAATGGTTACTTTGGCTTTGCACTTCCAGGCATTTCATGCTACTCAATAATGAGCAGAACTGTTATACTTTCTTCACCAATTGTTCTACTCTCTTTCATATCTACCTTTTCCCTTTCTACCTTAAAATTTCCTAGTCCACTTGGTAACTTGCCTTCTCGTTCCTTTTTAAATGGCCCGATCTTCTCTCTCCTTCATTAGTTTATGCTTTCAAATTTTGTTTATTCAACAAAGCCTGGTCATTCCTAGTTATATGTGATAATGTCCAATGTACGTGGGACCCCTAGCCTCTTCCAAGTCTGTTAAGAGTGCCTCAGTAGTTTGAGACTGTGGAGAAATCACATTCACTCTCTTCAATGAGAATAACAGAATTCCTTCACAGAAAGGTTTTAAGAAATAAAATCAAGACAAGATTTTAAAGTGTTTTATAAAGTCCCAAAAATTACCCTATTGCCACTGTATTTTCTGGTTGGCATTTCCTTCTAGCTAAACACTTTTAAAACTATAGAGAGGGCTGGCTGGAGATATGGCTCAAGCGGTAGCGCGTTCGCCTGGCATGCGTGCAGCCCAGGTTTGATCCTCAGCACCACATACCAACAAAGATGTTGTGTCCGCCAAAAAAACTAAAAAATAAATAAATAAAATTCCCTCTCCCCCCCCCTCTCTCTCTTTTAAAAAAAGTTTAAAAAAAAAAAAAGAACACCTACTAAAACCTCCCTCTTTTTTGGGCTGGGGATGTGGCTCAAGCGGTAGCACGATCACCTGGCATGCGTACGGCC